ATTTCTGAAAAATGTTCAGGTTGCTGTAATTTGTCAAGCCATTAATTTGAAAGCCCTTTAAGACGTTTTTATTCTTGGCTGGAATGCTGTAAGCAATGAGTTTTATTTCAGCATCAGTAGAAAAGTCAGCAGATTCAGAATAGGCTGGAAAAATCATAGAGGACTTAGAAGGCTCTACATGTCAACTCTATAGTTAGAAGCTTTTGAAAGCGTTTGAGAATGACCATTTCAGCTGTGAATGTTTTAAACATAATTTTCCCATTGGTTTAAAAATGTGCTCCAAAATGGCCCATAATGCTAGCTCAAATCCCAGAAAACCTAACATTCCTTCATGTTTGAGAATCCCATTTTGTTCTTATTAATCTCTTGAGAGCAAAGACAATCCCATTAATCCTGTCAGCAAATTTCAGGAGTGTAGACTGGTGTTTTAGATGGTAGTGACCATCCTAGTAGCTTTTAGAATCTGCGTCTACCATTAGAATGTTTTCTTACTCTGAGAATGTTTTTAGAAGCAAGCAAGGGGAAAGAGCCAAATCATTTAAAAATGCACATAAGCAAGCCAAAATGAAACCAAAATCAGAGTGTTCACAAAAACTTTAACCCAGGCATGCAGACCAAACAAAATATTAAACTAGGCATGCAGGCCATGTGAATTCACCAGAAATACATGCCTCAGACACAGGATATAAATTATGTAGAATCCAGGATACTCAAACCAGAAGGGTAGTTGTCTTTATACCAGAAAGGGCTTGTCATAAAAGAAAGTCTTATCATTCTAGGAGAGAGATAAGGTTCTTTACTAAGGTGGCCTTACAACCAAAACAAACCCCATATGAAGTCATAAACCACTCACCAAAGTGAGGGAGGATGAGAATCTGAGAAGAGATTCACTGGGGCATAAAAGGTAACTCATGGAAGCAGAGAATGTAGAGGCCTCAGTTGTACCACATTTGATTCCAGGGGCTGCTGATTCTTCTGAAGTGAGCTCACTTTGATCCCACTTCTGACACCATTTATATCAATAACAGAGAGAGGCTTTCTAAAAGAAAATGATATTTACTTGGACATAGAGCATTCATGTGTTTTGGTAAATTGTGTATATATATATATATATATTCATGGAAGCAAAGAATTATACAGATTTTTAAAGGAGAATTAAGAGGATTATGTGATTGCTTCAGATAATTACTTTTGGCTACAAGGATTAATAACAAGCATGGTGCTAGTCTGAGGTCAGGCAGGCAGTTGCTGGGCAGACGTCTTTACAGAAACATTTTGTGTGTAGGACTGCAAGGGCCTTTATGCAAGATTGTGGTTTCTTTTTTTCTTTTCTTTTCTTTCTTTCTTTCTTTTTTTTTTTTTTTTGAGACAGAGTCTCCCTCTATTTCCCTGGCTAGAGTACAGTGGTGTGATCTTAGCTTATTGCAATCTCTGCCTCCTAGGTTCAAGCAATTCTCTTGTCTCAGCCTCCAGAGTAGCTGAAATTACAGGCACGTGCCACCATGCCTGGCTACTTCTTGGATTTTTAGTAAAGACAAAGTTTCGCCATGTTGGCCAGGATGGTCTCAAACTCCTAACCTCAGGTGATCCACCTGCCTCAGCCTCCTAAAGTGCTGGGGTTACAGGTGTGAGCCACTGTGCCCGGCTGCCAGGTTGTGGTTTCTGCAGAGCCTTTTGTGATAGCCCTTGTTATTAGGCATTTGTACATGAGAACTCTCTCTTCATGGCCTTCCCTAGATGTATTTATTAAGGTGTTTTTTGTTTGTTTGTTTGTTTTTGTTATCGTTGTTGTTGTTTAACACAAGTGACCTCATTTTGATTTGGACAACGTTCATACTACATTCTAATCTTCTAATTGAGAACTGTTTCCTGGAAACCTAAACCTGAAACAGTGCCCTTGGAGCTGATACTAGATGAGAATGAACCAGATGGTTGAAAAGCTAGGAACAGGCCAGGTGCGGTGGGTGGCTCACGCCTGTAATCCCAACACTTTGGGAGCCCAAGGCGGGTGAATCACCTGAGGTCAGGAGTTCAAGACCAGCCTGACCAATATAGTGAAACTCCATCTCTAATAAAATACAAAATTAGCCGGGCGTGGTGGCAGGCGCCTGTAATCCCAGCCACTTGTGAGACTGAGGCAGGACAATTGCTTGAACCCGGCGGGACGGAGGTTACAGGGAGCCAAGATCACGCCACTGCACTCCAGCCCAGATGACAGAGCAAGACTCCATCCTCCTCCCCAGGAAGAAAAAAAAAAAAACTAGGAACAAAAAATTCAAATAGAAAAAAACCAAAACCCTTGGGTTGGAAAGCGCTTCACATGTTGATTATGTTTTGAATCAGAAGTGGTGCCAGTGTACAATTGGACAGGCAGGACCATTCTGGCTGTTGTGAGGACGGTGACTGGAAACAAGAAGACAAATTGGAGGCTTTGATAGTAGCTCAGGTAGGATATGATGGCACCATGGACTAGGCTGGTGGCACTGGAGATCGCAGTATAAAGGTTCAAAACAGGCCAGGTATGGTAGCTTACACCTGTCGTCCCAGCACTTTGGGAGGCCGAGGTGGGTGATCACCTGAGGTCAGGAGTTCGAGATCAGCCTGGTCAACATGGTGAAACCCCGTCTATACTAAAATTACAAAAGTTAACCGGGTGTGGTGGCGGGTACCCGTAATCTCAGGAGGCTAAGGCAGGAAAATTGTTTGAACCTGGGAGGTGGAGTTGCAGTGAGTCGAGACTGCGCCACTGCATTCCAGCCTAGGTGACAGAGTGAGACTCTGTCAAAAAAAAAAAAAAAAAGATGCAAAATGTGTTTTAAGATTATAACTGAAGACTTATGTATAGGTTAGATGTAGGATTGAGGGAAAAGGAAGAAACTAATGTGGCTGTTGGTTTAGTGGCTTGAGGAAATGGGGGGTTAGTTGACCAGTTATGAATATTGGAGACACTGGGGAAAAGTCACAGTTTGATTAGTTTATTGTTGGTTTTTAAATGAAAGTTTGGGAAATTAAGAGCTTACTTTTGGATATAGGAACTTCAGACATTCATCCAAGTAGAGATTTCAAATAAGCAGTTGCAGGCCTGATTCTTAAGTCTGTAGAGAAGACAGTATAAGACACCTAGGGAGAAAATGCCTACCACCATTTGGGATTTTTAAAAACTTAAATAGTTTTTTTTTCTTGAGACGGAGTCCTGCTGTTGCCAGGCTGGAGTGCAGTGGTGTGATCTCAGCTCACTCTAACCTCCGCCTCCTGGGTTCAAGCAATTCTCGTGCCTCAGCCTCCTGAGTAGCTGGGACTACAAGTGCCCGCCACCACACCTGGCTAATTTTTGTATTTTTAGTAGAGACGGGGTTTCACCATGTTGGCCAGGATGATCTCGATCTCCTGACCTCGTGATCCATCTGCCTCGGTCTCCTAAAGTGCTGGGATTACAGGCATGAACCACCACACCCAGTCCAATAGTATTTTTTTCTATTACACAAGATGTTTGCCTTTATTCACCATCTATAGGTTGTGTTAGAAGGAAAATATGCTTTAATTCTTAATGATATGGGCTTGAATCCCAACTCTTCCATTTAAGTATTGTGTTTCTTAAACTGTTTTCACCTCATTTAAAAAAAAAAAAATCTAACCTAAATCTTCTTACTAGCTTGTATAAGTACTCAAGTTGGCTCCTAGGTACCCATGTCTGCTCCAGACAAGCAAATATTAATATGCCATCTCTCCTTGAAAGTTTAAATTTCAGGCTGGTTGGTTGCCTGGAAACCTTACCTCTAAGATGGGTTCAAGAAAAGTTATAATTTCATAGATTTTTTAGCTTCTACTTGTTGCTAGACTGGGAGTAATTCTTTTTCCACCTTCTTGTGTATTAAGCAGAAGCACTACTAGTCTACACATAAAAAATTTGAGATAAATATCCATGTGTGATTTTCAATGGACAATTCTCTAAATTAGGCCAAAGACATTAACTGAAGAAGATTGTGGCATTATAAGTTCAAGATGGAAACTGAAACAAAGCAGTCATCCATTGGATCAACAGATGATTGGATAAAGAAATAATTATGGTATAAGCTGGGCACAGTGGCTCACACCTGTAATCCCAGCACTTTGGGGGGCCAAGGTGGGTGGATCACCTGAGGTCAGGAGTTCGAGACCAGCCTGACTAACATGGTGAAACCTCGTCTCTACTAAAAATACAAAATTAGCCGGGCACGGTGGTGCATGCCTGTAATCCCAGCTACTCGGGAGCCTGAGGCAGGAGAATCGCTTGAACCCAGGAGGTGGAGGTTGCAATGAGCCAAGATCGTGCCACTGCACTCTAGCCTATGCAATAAGAGTGAAACTCTGTCTCAAAAAACAATTTTAAAAATTAAAAATAATAATAATTGTGGTATGTACACACGATGGAATACTACTCAGCCATAAAAAAAAATGAAATCATGTATTTTGTAGTAACTTGGAAGAAACTGGAGACCACTCTCTTAAGTGAAACAACCCAGCAACAGAAAGTCAAATTCTGCATGTTCCCACTTATTAGTGACAGCTAAATAATATGTATACATGGACATACAGTGTGGAATGACAGACATTGGAGACTCAGAAGGGTGGGATTGTGGGAGATGCATGAAGGATGAAAAATCACTTGAAGCAGTGTTTATTATTTGGGTCATGGTTACACTAAAAGCCCAGACCTCACCACTATACCATATATCTGTGTAACAAAATGGCGCCTGTACCCCTTAAATTTATACACATAAAGTAAAATAGAAAAGAAAGCAGTAATGAATAAGATTGCTCAGGGAATGTTTGTATATCTACTGTGACATTCTAAACCTTGTGTTATGCCTTCAAATATTTCTTTTCATAGTTTCATTCCTTTACACTTTGATTTTTCTTCTCATAACTGATGATGTATTGTGTCTTTGATAGCTGGTATGAGTGCATGTTCTTTCAATGTGATTGTGATAAAGTTAGTATTTGTGGGATTTTTCCCATAGGTATTCCAAATGCACAACACTACCAAAGTAGCTGTAAATGACTTGTCTTTGAATTTATATGAGGGGCAGATCACTGTTCTTCTAGGACATAATGGGGCAGGAAAATCCACCACTCTATCCATTCTCTCAGGTAGGTGTTCCACTCCGTTAAAAAAAAAAACTGTAGATAAAGCAATGAGACTTTTGTGTATCCTCTTGATGTTCACAGTTTAGTGATTTCTGCGATACATACTTTAATAATCTCCTTTATTTTCAAGTTTGCAAATAATTGTTATAAAATTTAAAATTAGGATTTATTTTGGGGAAGAGGAAAGAGGACATTACATAATGATAAAAAGGTCAATCTACCAAGAAAACATAACTATTCTTAATATGAATGCAGTCAAAGAACAGAGCATCAAAATGCTCAAAGCAAAAACTGATAGACTTGAAAAAAGAAATAGACACATTTGCAATTATAGTTGGAGACTTCAACACCACTCTTCTGGCAATTGATAGAACCAGTAAACAGAAATTATTAAAGTTACTGAAAAACTTAACAGCACTGTTACTCAAAACAATCTAATTGACATTTATAGAAAATTCCACTCAGCAGAATACACTTTTTTTTTTTCTTTTTTTTTTTTTGAGACGGAGTCTCGCTCTGTCACCAGGCTGGAGTGCAGTGGCGCAATCTCAGTTCACTGCAACCTCCGCCTCCCAGGTTCAAGCAGTTCTCATGATTACAGGCACGCACCACCATGCCCAGCTGATTTGTGTATTTTTAATAGACACAGGGTTTTTGCCATGTTTCCCAGGCTGGTCTCAAACTCCTGAGCTCAAGCGATCCACCCACCTCGGCCTCCCAAAGTATTGAGATTACAGGTATGAGCCACTGCGCCCAGCCTGCAGTAAGTGAATAGTTTCTAGTGTGTAACATTTTAATTCCTTTAATAATTTTTCTCATTATATAGTTTTGAGTTATTTTCTTAGTAGTTGCCCTGGGGCTTACCATATACACCTTAACTTAAGGCAATGCACAGCTTAAAACAGAATTCATAAATGTCAAATGGCTGATGGGCAATGCTGGCACGTTGTAATATGACACTCTCTCATGTTTTTATTACTCAAATGATTTGCATTTATTCATACACATTGCAACATAGAACATACAGTTAAATAGGAAATTACAAAATAAATTATTTCTAAGTTCATCACCTCAAAAATAACTGTCGGTGTTTTGTAGAATTTTCTTCTGTGTGAAATATTGCTAATGCTAATGAGTCATCCGTATGTAAATTTCAAAGTTGATATGCTAATGAGCAGTTTGTTTCCACGTTCCCTTATGAAAACTAAGTTTCTGTTATGTTTTCTGCTTGATTCCAGGTCTCTATCCTCCCACAAGTGGAAATGCCTATATTAATGGATACAGTATCTCAAAGCAGATGGTCCAGATTAGGAAATCGCTGGGCTTGTGTCCCCAGCAGAACCTGTTGTTTAATTACTTGACGGTATCAGAACACCTTCATTTCTATTCTGTGGTAAGCAAAAGAAAGTTTCCTTTTCCCCCAGTCTATTCATGTGCTTCAGGTAGATTAGCTACTACGAATATTCTTATTCTTACAAAGTTCGAAATTGATTTTAATGAATTCTTCTTTAAACATAAAGAAAAGCAAAGGGAATAAATTACTACATGAATGATGTAAGAGAAAAGCTGGTGTAATATGTTTCTAAGAGTAAAGTTGGAAGCACCAAGTAAACTCTGGCTCCTTTTTCTAGATAAAAGGAGTACATGGAAAGATGACGCCTACTGAAATTGACCGCATGCTGGCTACTTTTAACCTGCTAGAAAAGCGTAACAAATTGTCCAAGTCACTGAGTGGAGGAATGAAGCGCAAACTCTCCATCATTATAGCACTTATAGGGGGCTCCAAGGTAAACAAACAAACAAACAAAGCCAAATATGGATTCCCACTGCATACTGCAGCTACTCTAAAAGAATCAGCTGACACAAATTTGAGAACTGCTATGGAGCTAACGTTCTAAATATAACCTCCTAAATGAAAATCAGATGGGATTGACATTGTCGATCTCATTGGTATAAAATGGCCATAGGTTTGAAATTATTCCAGCATTCCTAATTCAGTTTTTTCTAAACTTTTTTTTGAGACAGGGTCTTGCTCTGTCACCCAGGCTGGAGTGCAGTGGCACAATCATGGCTTAAAGCAACCTTAACCTACCTGACTCAAGCAGTCTTCCCTGCTCAGCCTCCCAGGTAGCTGGAACTACAGGCACATGCCACCACACCCAACTAACTTTTTATTAATTTTTTAAGTTTTTTGTAGAGATAGGGTCTCACTATGTTGCTCTAACTTTTGGGCTCAAGTGATCCTCCACTTTGGCCTCCCAAAGTGCTGAGATTACAGGTGTGAGCCACTGCACTTAGCCTCTAAACTTATTATCTTAGCCTAGTTGAACCAAGTGAAAAAGCAAAATCAAAGTAAGCTCCATGACTGGTAAGACAATAGTGGTACCAGTATATAATATTTAACAATGGTCATGGATTTGTTTTTCTGGTCTTCAGGTAGTGATACTTGATGAGCCAACGTCTGGCATGGACCCAGTCTCAAGGAGGGTCACCTGGGATCTCCTGCAGCATTTTAAACTTGATCGTACCATCCTACTGACCACCCACTACATGGATGAAGCTGATGTTCTGGGTGACCGCATAGCCATCATGGTCAAGGGATCCGTGCGGTGCTGTGGCTCTTCAATTTTCCTGAAAAAAATATATGGTCTGTCTCTCCTTGATTATTCTCAGGATATTGATGCCTTCATAACATTCTTCAAACATATGTTTTATTGTTTTTTTCTAGGTACCCAAAACTTCAGTGATTCCTTCTGTTCTATTAATTAGTATTCAACTATGAGCTCTTTGAAATAATACTCCTTTTTTTCAAAATTATTTCCCTCTTTTGTGTTTATTGTTTTATCCAAAATTTCTATTCAGTTTTTCCATATGGCTTCTACTTAAATTTTAATTTGCCCAAATGCATGTGTGCTTTCAAAGAGTTAGATAGACAGACAGACAGGTTGATGGATTATAAGGGAAACGTAGTGAATCAAACATCTGCTGTTTCTTGTTTTTCAAAGAAGTACTAAATTGCTTCTATATGAGTGGAATAATTTATTACAATATGAAAAATTTTTCTAAACTGTAAAATACCAAATATGTCCTAATAGCTTCCTTACCTTTTTAAGGCCATTATTCACAATTACCTATACATCAGTCGTCTTTGACTCTTTATATATAACTTTGACACGAAATAGTTCCATGATTCTAGAAAGTTTTTTTTGAGCCTGTTTTCATCAATTCACCTCTCCCAGAGGCAATTACTTTCTGATTTTATTACCATACATTAGTTTTGCCTATTGTTGAATGTCATATAAATGAATTATATATTATAATTTTGTTCCTGGTTTCTTTACTTCAGCACAATACGTTTGAGATTAATCTATATTGTTGCATGGATCAATTGTACATAACTTCAAATCTTCATAGATTTTTATGTTGTTTTAGGTCATTTCTATCATATGATGTATGAATTCAAATATAAGCAAATGTGCTATAAATTTAAAGATCTTTCTTGGTTAAAAATCCATCTTGTGAACTTAAAGATCTCTCTTGCTTAAAAATTCATCTTGGATAAAAATACTTAGTGGTGGAATATTTTGGTACTTACTGGTGGGGTTCTTGGTCATAAATTATGTGTGTGATGTTTTGAAAGGTTCTTCAAAGTGCTTGTAATATTTTATACCAGTCAGCATGTTTGAGAATTCCACTTAGACCATATCCACACCAACATTTTGGTTTGCCTTTTGGGTTTTAGTCATTCTGGTGGTTGTGAAACAGTTATCTCGGTGTTTTTAATTCTCATTTCCCTGAAGAATAATTATATTGAGTTCATTTTCATGTATAAGTTGGCTATTTGCATAAATTCTTTTGTGAAGTGTTTAAGTCTTCTGCCCACTATTACAAGTTGGTTATCTTTTTGATTGAACATTTGTAGTTCTTTCACATATTCTTCATGTGAGTTCTTTGTCAGATATATGGATTGTGAATATTTATCCAAATGGGTTCCTTGCCTACTTATCTTAATAGTATCTTTTGATGAGTGTAAATGTTTAATTTTAAGGCTCATTTATTAATTTTTTTGAAGATTTTTGTGTCCTTTCTAGGATATCTTTGCCTACATAAAGGTTGCAGAGATCTCCTATATTTTCTTCTTGATACTTTACAGTTCTAGCTTCTAAAGGTTTATGACTTATTTCAAGTTGACTTTTGCAAATGGTGTTGATGTTGATTTTTTTCCCCCTGTGAGTATCCAGAACCATTTACTGAAACACATTCCTTTTTCTAGCGAATTGCTTTGGCACCGTTGATAAAAATCAGCTGACTTATCTATAAGTGGGTCTACTTTTGGTTTTTCTGTTGTTTCATTCATCCATAGGTCTATTCTTTTACAAATACAACAGTCATGAATACTGGATCTTTATAGTAAGTTCTGAAAATAGGTAACATAAGTCTGTCAACTTTTTTCTTGTTTTCCAAGATTGCTTGAGCTATTTTAGGCCCTTTATATTTCCCTATAGATCTTAGAGCCATTTTGTTAAATTCTACAAAAACTCTGGTTAAATATTGGTTGGGATCTCTTTGAAGCTATGTATCATTTTGGGAAGAATGGTCATCTTCAATATTGAGTCTTCCAGTATATGAGCTTCATATTATTTATTGGTTTATTTAGGTTTTGTTTAGGCCATTTTTGGCTATATTTTGTTGTGTTCATTGTCAAGGTCTTTCATTAGATATATTCCAAAGTATTTCATTTTTATATTTATGCAAATGGTAGTATTTAATGTCATTTTCCAATGTTTCTCTGGTAGTATTTATATATACAATAATTTTATATTGACCTTGTATCTTGTAAACTTGTTTATTCATACATTAGGTCTGATGATACTTTTGTAGATTCTATGCACAATCCTATTACTTGTGAATCAGAAGATTTTGCTTCTTTCTCATCTTTATGCCTTTTATCTTTTTCTTTTGACTTATTGTCTTATATGGGACTTACAGCACATTCTTGAATAGGATTGATAAAAGTAGACAGACTTGTCTTGTTCCTTATCTTAGAGGGGAAATGTATAATGTTCATCATTAAGTATGAGATTTCCTGAAGGATTACTTGGAAGCCTGTTACCAGTTTAATGAATTTTCCTTTTTTGCTAGGAGATTTTTTCCTTTCTTTTTTTTTTTAAAGTTTTATTTTAAGTTCTAGAATACATGTGCAGGATGTGCAGGTTTGTTACATAGGTAAATGTGTGCCATGGTGGTTTGCTGCATCTATCACCCCATCACCTAGGTATTAAGCCACACATGCATTAGCTATTTATCCTAATGCTCCCCATTCTCCTGTCCCCCATGACAGGCCCCAGTGTGTGTTGTTCCTCTCCCTGTGTCCGTGTGTTCTCATTGTTCAGCTCCCACTTTTAAGTAACAACATGGGGTGTTTGGTTTTCTGTTCCTGTGTGTGTTCGCTGAGGATAATGGCTTCCAGCTCCAACCATGTCTCTGCAAATGATATAATCTCATTCCTTTTTATGGCTGTATAGTATTCCATGGTGTATATGCACCACATTTTCTTTATCCAATCTATCACTGATGGGCATTTGGGTTGATTCCATGTATTTGCTATTGTGAATGGTGCTGCAATGAACGTGTACATGCATGTGTCTTTATAATAGAATGATTTATAATCCTTTGGGTACACACCCAGTAATGGGACTTGAGGAAGTGCCGCACTGTCTTCCAAAATGGTAGCACTAATTTACATTCCCACCAACAGTGTAAAAGCATTCCTATTTCTCCACAGCCTTGCCAGCATCTGTTTCTTGACTTTTTAATAATGACCATTCTGATTGGTGTGAGATGGTATCTCATTGTGGTTTTGATTTGCATTTCCCTAATGATCAGTGACACTGAGCTTTTTTTCATATGCTTATTGGCTGTATAAATGTCTTCTTTTGAGAAGTGTCTGTTCATGTCCTTTGCCTACTTTCTGATATTAGACCTTTGTCAGATGGATAGATTACAAAAATTTTCTCCCATTCTGTAGGTTATCTGTTCACTCTGATGATAGTTCCTTTTGCTGTGTAGAAGCTCTTTAGTTTAATTAGATACCGTTTGTCAATTTTTGCATTTGTTGCAGTTGCTTTTGATGTTTTTGTCATCAAACCTTTGCCTGTGCCTATGTCCCGAATGGTATTGCTGAGATTTTCTTCTATAGTTTTTATAAAAGTTTTAGGTTTTACATTTAAGTCTTTAATCCATCTTGAGTTAATTTTTGTATAAGGTGTAAGGAAGGAGTCCAGTTTCAATTTTCTGCATATGACTAGCCAGTTTTCTCAGCACATTTATTATAAGGAGATCCTTTACCCTTTGCTTGTTTTTGTCAGGTTTGCTGAAGATTAGATGGTTGTAGATGTGCGGTCTTACTTCTGAGATCTCTTCTATTCCATTGGTCTATGTGTCTGTTTTTGTATCAGTACCATGCTGTTTTGGTTACCGTAGCCTTGTAGTATAATTTGAAGTCAGGTAGCATGATGCCTCCAGCTTTGTTCTTTTTGCTTAGGATTGTCTTAACTATACAGGCTCGTTTTTGGCTTCATATAAATTTTAAAGTAGCTTTTTCTAATTCTTTGAAGAACGTCAATGGTAGTTTAATGGGAATAGCATTGAATCTATAAATTACTTTGAGCAGTATGGCCATTTTCACAATATTGATTCTTCCTGTCAACAAGGATGGAATGTTATTCCATTTGTTTGTGTTCTCTCTTATTTCCTGGAGATTGCTAGGAGGTTTTTAAAAATCTGTGGTAGACGTTGAATTTCATCAATGCTCTTTTTTCGTTTTTCGTTTTGGATCTAGAGGAATACTCATATTTTTTCTCTTTAATTTTGTTTGTATTCTGATTTACATTCATTTATGTTTGAAAGATAAAGCCAAGCTTTTATTCCTGGGATAAATCCTATTAGGCATTATGTATTACTTATAAATTGCAGAATTTGATTTGTAGATATTAAGTTCATCAGGGACTTTGGTCTATAATGTCTATAATTTTCTTTTCTTGAAATCTCTGTCTAGTTTTGATATCAGGTTTATGTTGGCCTCATAAAATGAATTCAGAAGTGTTTCTTCTTTTTTGTCATCTGTAAGCATTTATATAAGGCTCTACTATTTTTTTCTTAAGTGTTGGATAGAATTAACCAGTAAAGTGTCATCTGGGTCTCAAGATTACTATTTGGGAGAGTTTTACTAATTAAAAATCTATTTATTGGCCAGGTACAGCGGCTTACGCCTGTAATTCAGCACTTTGGGAGGCTGAGGCAGGCAGATCACTTGATCTCAGGAGTTTGAGACCAGCGATCTCAGAGGTTTGAGACCAGCCTGGCCAACATGGTGAAACCCGGTATCTACTAAAAATATAAAAATTAGCTAGGCATGGTGGTGCATGCCTGTATTCCCAGCTACTCAGGAGGCCGAGGCAGGAGAATCACTTGAATCCAGGAGGTGGAAGTTGCAGTGAGCCAACATCATGCCACTGCACTCCAGCCTGGGCGACAGAGTGAAAAAAAAATATATATATATGTGTGTGTGTGTGTGTGTGTGTGTGTGTGTGTGTGTATTTCTTTGAAAAATACAGGGCTATTTAGATTTTCCATCATTTTTTGTGAACTTTTTTATAACTTTAATTTTTCTAGATAACTAATATCCCCTTAATTATCCTTTAAATGTTTGTATTACGTATGTTAATGTCTTGACTTTCATTTCGGACACTGATTATTTGTGTTTTTCTCTTTTTTTCTTGATCATTCTTGTTAATAATACATCTTATGAATAAGAAGAATTTTTAGCTTTATTATTTTTATCATTTTTCTGTTTTTTATTTAACTTATTGTTCATCTTTATTATTTCACTTTTGTTTCTTAGTTTGGATTCATTCACTCATTTTCTACCTTTCTAAGATGGAATATTATTATTATTATTTATGAGAGGGTCTCATTCTCTCAACCAGGCTGGAGTGCAGTGGCGTGATCTCTGCTTACTGCAACTTCTGCCTGCTGAGTTCAAGCCATTCTTTTGCCGCAGCCTCCAAAGTAGCTAGGGTTACAGGCACATGCCACCATGCCACCATGCCACCACGCCACCACACCCAGCTATTAAGATGGAACATTAAATCATTGACTCTTAACCTTTCTTCTTTCAAATATAGGATCTAAAGCTATACCTTTCTTCCTAAGTCCTGTGTTAGCAACACCCCACAAATTTTAGTAGGTTGCATTTTTATTTTTATTCAGTTAAAATATACTGTTTCTTATGCCTAAAGCCCTTCCTTTGACATTTCTTGTAGCGTACTTTTGTGGGTAATGAATTATCTCATTTATGTTTGTCTCTACTTTTAAAATATATTTTTGCCATTTATAGAATTCTGTGTTGATTTTTGTGTATAGTAGAGACAAGATTTTGCCATGTTGGCCAGTCTAGTCTTCAACTCCTGACCTCAGGTGATCCACCCGCCTCTGCCTCCCAAAGTGCTGGGATTATAGGCATAAGCCACCATGCCCGGCCAATTTCTTCAGTTTCTGAAAGGATTTTTATCTGACTTATTTACTACCTGGTATGTAGTAGACAACCAACAAATATCTCTTTAATGCATATTAATCTTGTCCTCTCAGATTTCAGTGTCAATAGGATGAGAAGCCAGATAATGAGGCTTTTCATCCTATCTCTGCTGTATCTGGTTATATAATCCAGGTCACTATCAGTCCCTAAGAGAAATAATGAAATTATAAAAGAAGTACTTATTAGGCTCCTTAGAGTTGTAATTTAATGATCTCTGACATGCCCTATCTTCTAGCTTACCCAGGTAATGAAAGTCACATGTGATCTCACAAGTATGGGAAATACAAAATCATTTTATCTGTTCTTCTACATGGATTTTTCTCAGGTGTGGGATACCGCATTGTCATGGTGAAGACACCTGACTGTAATGTTGAAGAAGTCTCAAAATTAATTCATTATTATATACCAACAGCCACTTTGGAGAATGATGTTGGAACTGAGTTATCTTTTATTCTGCCCAAAAATTATGCACACAGGTATGGATCCAGAGAATACTAAATGAGTAATTCTTAGAGAGCCAGAAATCATTGTTTCTTTTCCTAGTTTCTTCAGGCTTAACAAGTAGAGTTTATTTAACAAGACAAAAATCCTGTTACAGCTGCCATTTGCAGTGAACAGAGAGATGCACCTAATGGCTATAGTTTTCTGGTGTTAATTGGGATAACCGATGAATGTTTTTGGTGCTCCTGGTGAGTTGAGTGAAGGGAAATATTAAGATAATGAGAGGAAAAAAATGGATGGCTTAATTAAACATGGCTCTTAGAGTCAGGATGACATGAACCGAGAGGAAATAGGCAGCTTGGATTCACCAGTTAGCCAAGTTACTCATGAAAGGGAGTCAAAGAATAATAACTTTTCCTGTGATAACTATCCTGAAAAAGAGAAAAAGAAACTAAGAGTATTCATTGGTAACTTTCAGAGTATGATATTTTTAGCTTCTTGCCACATACAGTTACGTAGTTGCTTTGGTATTCTCTAGATTCAAGCCAGTTGTTATATTCACAAAGAATATGGGAGATGGGGGACTTTAATTTTTTTTTTCCAAAACAACAGGAATGTGTCATAAAAGAAACAGTAAAGGAAGAAGAACTGTGCCATTTGAGTTCTGTTCACTCAGAAAATCGGGAAGTTCAGCCTGCTGTGGTAGCTCACACCTGTAGACCCAGCACTTTGGGAGGCCGAGGCAGGCAGATCACCTGAGGTCAGGAGTTCGAGACCAGCCTGGCCAACATGGTGAAACTCTGTCTCTACTAAAAATACAGAAATTAGACAGGCATGGTGGCAGGTGCCTGTAATCCCAGCTATTCGGGAGGCTGAGGTGGGATAATTGCTTGAACCCGGGAGGCGAAGGTTGCAGTGAGCCAAGATTGCGCCATTGTGCTCCAATCTAGGTGACAAGAGCAAAACTCTGTCTCAAAAAAATAAAAAAGAAAGAAAGAAAAGAAAATTGGGAAGTTCTTGAACCAGCAGCTTGGGGCAGCTAATCAGGCAGTGGAGTGGAACCAAGACCCTAGTCATAAGTTGGAGTAGAAGAATTAAATACAGTGAAAAACTGGAAATAATATTCTAGATATGTCTCCTTAGTGATACAAGGCAGTTGACTCATTCAGCCCAGGTGGGAAGCAGGTTTTATGTTGGTGCCTCAGCCCAGGGTTGTAGTCATGATCCACCAGGAGCTACAGAATCCATCTGAAGGAGAGACACAGATAAAGAGCTTGCTTGAGCTTGCTTGAGCTTGCCACACTATCTGCCTATCCTGATTTGTATGGCCACAAACGGCATTCTCAGACAAGAACAGGAACACCATGTTGAGATTCTAAGACAGGAAATGTGAGAACATGGAAGCAGATGATATGGTGAGACCACATCATCTTACTAATCGTTTGCACTCAGAAGAAAGAAATAGGAAGATACTCTAGAAGGTGAAGAACTGATTGTAGATTTCTGGGCTGTAGATATAGAATGACACACACAGTACAAAATAAAATGAAAATCATGAATTTAGGGATGTATATATTTGCTCAGGATGACGTTTTCTCTAACAGGGAGAGTTGTTTTTTATATATATACTTTAAGTTCTGGGATATATACGCAGAACGTGCAGGTTTGTTACATATGTATACATGTGCCATGTTGGTTTGCTGCACCCATCAACCCGTCATATACATTAGGTATTTCTCCTAACGCTATCCCTCCCCCAGCCCCCCACCCCCTAACAGGCCCCGGTGTGTGATGTTCCCCTCCCTGTGTCCAAGTGTTCTCATTGTTCAACTCCCACTTATGAGTGAGAACATGTGGTTCTAACAGGGAGAATTTATTATTATTATTATTATTACACTTTAAGTTCTGGGGTACATATGCAGAACGTGCAGGTTTATCACATAGGTATACATGTGCCATTGTGGTTTTGCTTCACCCATCAACCCATCACCTACATTAGGTATTTCTCCTAATGTTATCCCTCCCTTAGCCCCCCACAGCCCCACAGGCCCCGGTGTGAGATTCCCCTATGGGGAGAGTTTTAAGCTAAAAGAATTGGGATGAAGAAAATATAAGAAAAAGAAATACCTATAAATCTAGTTATTTCAGGGCATAATATGAAAAGAATGAAATGATGGTTAAATACTCAGTGATTTCTACCCCAACTAAAATTTTCATACCTAACAGCAATTGAGCACTTAGTTTCTATCAGACATTGTTCTAATATGTATTTATTTGCCTGAATAAATACTATGGAACAGAAAAGTAGTAATTTTTTATCATATATACCTGTATTTCAATTCATTGAATATATCTCACAAGGAAAGTCATCTTGAAATTTTAAAACAAACTGGGCCTGGTGGCTCACACCTGTAATCTTAGCACTTTGGGAGGCCAAAGCGGGCAGATCACTTGAGCCCTGGAAATTGAGGCTGCAGTGAGCTTAGATCACGCCACTGCACTCCAGCCTGGGTGACAGAGTGAGACACTGTCTCAAAAAAACAAAAAAAGAAAAAATTACATATATGTATATATTTTGAGATGGAGTTTTGCTCTTGTTGCCCAGGCTGGAGTGTAGTGGCACAATCTTGGCTCACTGCAACCTCCACCTTCCAGTTTCAAGCAATTCTCCTACCTCAGCCTCCCAAGTAGCCGGGATTACAGGTGCATGCCACCACACCCGGCTTTTTTTTTTTTTTTTTTGGTAGTAGTAGTAGTAGTAGTAGTAGAGATGGGGTTTCACCATGTTGGCCAGGCTGGTCTTGAACTCCTGACCTCATGATCCACCCACCTCAGCCTCCCAAAGTGCTGAGATTATAGGTGTGAGCCAACGTGCCCGGCCAGAAGAAGAAATTTTAAAACAAGGTCGTAACTTGTAGAACAATGCTGAGACTTGGTAGAATGAAACCTAAGCTTAGAATGTAATAGCGGAATGATAGATATGAGACACATCAGAATAGTGCTGCATATCAGGGAATATTTATATGCTTAAAATTCTAGATCTAGAAGGTAGAAATGTACAGAAAATAAAAACAGTGGGTGACCACAGGAGGAGAAAGAAACAAGTTACATATAATTTTGTGAAACTCCTGCAAGCTAGAAGAAGGAAATGCATAATATATTTTGGATACAGGTTTATTTAAGATTCATAGTGAAGGGAATAATTCAAGTGTAGACTTGTAATACAGACATGATTACGGTGTGTGTGTATATATATATAGACATGTGTTGCTACAGGTCTCCTGACACATTCCTGACTTTTCTTGCCAATGATTAAACTTCCTAGAAAGATGGAGGAAATGAGAAAGAAACTGCTACTGTAAGCCTAATTCTGATCATCAAGAAAATGTTGGTTGAAGATTAAAAAAAAAAAAAAAGTCAGACAACTTCGGGAGTTTCCCTTACACCATGGTAGACTTCGTGGCAGAAAAGGAGGAAAAGAACTTGATAGATTCAGGCACATACAAAATTGGAAGGCATACAGAAAAGCAAGATTCCATAGCATGATCTTTTGAAAAGAAATGTTCCTCAAGAATGTTTGGAAACTTCAATATGAAATTCTGACCACCAAATCCCAAATCTAAAGAAAATGGAGCAATACCCAAAGTGTAGTAAACAAGAACAAATAAGACAGGCTGATACAGAATATTACTAGGAAGTCTAACCCCCTCAACGTGTTATTCAAGGAAAGTTTTGAAAGTAGTTAGTATCATTATACCCTTTTTTAAGAGTTTGGGGTATCTTGAGCAAAGGTTGGCTCCTAAGCAGCACAGTTGGAAAGATATGTGAGGGTTACAAACATCTATGTTGTGGAACAGAAACAAAGCTAGTATTTGAGATAAGGACCAGCAGGTTAATCAGGAAAAAACAGACCGGAAATTAAACGTGTACATGATAGATCCAGGTGAAATTTTATGGCATGAGTTCTCCTTTGGCAATGCCTCTTTTTATGCGCCTTGATTTCTTCTAATTTTGCCTCCATTTGTATTTTTAAAATGGGATTTTGAGGTTGGGATCTGGCAGTAAGAAAAAGAAAAATCGGAAGCTAGATCTTTCCCAAGAATGTCAAGGAAAAGAAGCTTCAATGCTGTCATCAAGGAAACAAAATTTCTCAACTCCTCTTTAAATTCAATATTGTTGATCAAAGAGAATGATCTTTTCATTAAAAAGGGATGCACAGCAAAAAGGAAGACGAGATATTCAGAGTGTTCCTCACAGCTGCAAATAAATTATAGTCTCCACATGAAGATGTACACACGAGCCACTCAGATCGCCATGAAGGGATTATAAAGGAATAAATGCTAAAGTGAAGTAACATTGTGACAAATGAAGAGAATATAAAGCATACTTATTTTTACCTTTTTACAAATGATATGACGACTCTTAAGGTCAGAAAGATTCAATCAAATCACAATAGTAGATCAAATGGAAAGATTAAATCAAATAGTTATTACTGATACAGGCTGAAATTGAACACAGGCTGAAATTGAACACGGGCCCATTTAGCTCCAAAACTTTTTGCTTTTCCATCTATACCATGATGTTAGAAAACTGGAGACATGCCAATCTCATCCTAATTTTAAGCTTCACAAATTGATACCACCAATGATACCAAAGTTGATTTTGAGCAAAAAAAGAAGAAAAGAAAAAAACAATACCTAGAATGAGAATTTAGAAGAAAAATCACTTTATCAAGTAGAATCACACCTAAGTCTTAGACATAGTTTCCTCCTGAAATTGTATATAATCGTATGTCAGTCCTGGAGAAATATCAACCTCCTTTTATAAAGATGGGGGAAAAGAATGAATTGTGGACAAGATACTAAATTTAAAAATGCCAATTCTGAACATTATTGTACTGCAAAAATAGAAAACTTCTGAAACTCTCTGCTTTGTAGCCTTGATCAAATTAAAGAAGACGCTATGAATCTAGACCCAGCAGTTTTGAAGAGGAAAAGTGAGATAAATTCTTGATTGGGTAATAAAAAAAACTGACCAAATAATTATGGCAGAAAATAGCAGAACTGATGAAAGAGAAGACTATGTCAAAAATTCTTCCCAGAACTATGCAAAATTAACGAAGAATAAGCAAGCATTACATTACCACTACACACCCCCTAGAATGGCTAAAGCTAAGAAGATGAACTATAACGTGAACATGGCAACCGGCTCTCATCGCTGGTAGAAGTGTAAAACGGTAAAACTGCTTTGTAAAATCTTTGGTCATTTCTGGTAAGCTCAGTATGTGCTTACCCTATGACCTAGTAATCACACTCCTAGTATATACCTAGGAGAGACAAGTCCATTAAAATACATGTAAAATAATGTTTATATTCACAGTCACTTTATTCATACTAGCCCCAAACCAAAAACAACCAGAGCGTCCTTTAGCAGGAAATGGATAAATACCACTCAGCAATAAAAAAGAATGAACTACGGCCGGGCGCGGTGGCTCACGCCTGTAATCTCAGCACTTGGGGAGGCCGAGGCAGGGAGATCACGAGGTCAAGAGATAGAGACCATCCTGGGCTATCATGGTGAAACCCCGTCTCTACTGGAAATACAAAACTTAGCTGGACGTGGTAGCCTGTGCCTGTAATCCCACCTACTCGGGAGACTGAGGCAGGAGAATCGCTTGAACCCGACAGGGGGAGGGTGCAGTGAACCAAGATAACGCCACTGCACTACAACTGGGCAACAGAGCGAGATTCTGTCTCAAAAAAAAAAAAAAAAAACTAGTGGTATATGCAACAACATGAGGAAATCTCACAGACATTACGGTGGGCCAAAAAGCACATACTGTAAGATGGCGTTTATATAAAACTAAAGAAAAAGCAAAACGAATCTTTGTTTCTAGGATTCTAATACAATTGTACCATATGTTGTGTGTATATGCACATGTGTCTGTGTGTGCAGATAAAGGGCTTGTCGACCAGAAAGGGGCATCCTGGAATACCCTTCTGAGACGCTGGAACTGTTCTCTGTCTTATCTGGATGTTATCCAGGTATACTCATATGGAAAAATTCATTTGCCACATAGTGCATTTTACGTATGTTGCACCACAGAAAAGAAGAAGAAGAAAAAAAATCTAAATTTAAAAATATATGTAGTGATGGAAAGAAGTACATCAAGTATTTAACAGGGATATACTTGAGATAGTCAGATTCTTTTCATTTTTATGTTTTTCTCTGTTTCCCCCAAAAGATAATATATATTATCTGTATAATATCCATATGTATTAAATATCAGTATTATATATAGCATATAAAACATATAATTAGAAAAAAGGTTTATAAACTTATATAATTAGAAAAACAGGTCAGATTCATAATAGGACTTTATAATACAACTGACCCATGAAATTTGTTTTGTTATTTATTTCTTTATTCTGTTTTGCTTACTGTTTGCTTTGTTACTGAGGAACCTAGAGTTGACTAATCTACTTATGGTTGCATGATAATAAAAATTAAAGAACTTATTTATTTCTGGAGTATATGAATTAGAGAGTGAAAGTCTCTCATAATTACTCTCCATAGAAGTAATCCCTGAGAAGAGTTTGATGTGTATTTTTATTTTTGTGTGTTTATTTTGTTTTGTGTTGTTTTTATTTTGATGCATATTTTTCAAGAACACTACGTATATATATTGACATGTATACAATCATAGTGATAGTTTTTTATTTTTTATTATTATTTTTTTTCTTGAGATGAAGTCTTACTCTATTGCTCAGGCTGGAGTGCAGTGGTGCGATCTCGGTTCACTGCAACCTCTGCCTCCCAGGTTCAAGCGATTCTCCTGCCTCAACTTCCTGAGTAGCTGGGATTACAGGTGCACGCCACCACACCCAGCTAATTTTGTATTTTTAGTAGAGACGGGGCTTCGCCATGTTGGCCAGGCTAGTCTCAAACTCCTGACCTCAGGTGATCCACCTGCCTTGGCCTCCCAAAGTGCTGGGATTACAGGTATGAGCCACCGTGCCTGGCTCATAATAATAGTTTTCTTAGAAATGGGATTCTACCATACTAATGTTCAGAATCTTGCCTTGTTTACTCACCAGGATTTCTCAGCCAACTTTCTGTTAGGAATTGTAGGCTTTCTTCATTTATGAAACAACTGTGGAGAAATCTACATTTTAATTATATCTTATTCTGTCATATATTCATACTGTAATTTATTTGTTCATTAAGCTGGTGATGAATATTTAGGTTATCAAGACTTTGTGCTATATTAATACATTTAAAGCAGTACACAATTTAATTCTAACTTCGTCGTATATTGCATAAAGCCAAAAGAACCAAAAATAATTTTGCCTAAATAATAGTGTATTAACAGTGGTTATCTTTGATGGATGGTGTTATGATAATTTTTATTTTCTTTATATACTTATTTTCTGAATTTTGTACAATGCACACACGTTAATCTTTTTTTTTTTTTTTTTTTTTTTTGAGACAAATTCTTGCTCTGTCACCCAGGCTGGAGTGCAGTGGTACAATCACAGCTCACTGCAGCCTTTACTTCCCAGGCTCAAGCCACCATCCTGAGTAGCTGGGACCACAGGCATGTACCACTATGTCCAGCTGACTTTTTTTTAAGAGATGAGGTCTCACTATTTTGCGTAGGCTGGTCTCAACCTCCTGGCTTCAAGCAATCCTTCCACTTTGGCCTCCCAAAGTGCTAGTATTACAGGCATGAGCCACCATACTCAGCCCAAATTTAAAAATGAAAAAGAAGAAAATATGAGTGAATCCCAGTAGAGAAGTCATATATTGGAAATGAAGAAATGTAGGAGAAAATGGACTTAAAATATGTCAAAGACTGGCTGTCACACAGATGGATTGTATCTATTCTAAATAACCTCAAGGTGTAAGATTGGAACTAATGTGCAAAACTAGATAGAATGTAAGCTTGAATATGGAGGCAAGTTTGATAGATTTTCTAAAAGGAAATTTTTAATTCCCCTAACACTGAGTGTGTGCAAAGACAGGTTCAACTGACCTTCACTGAAAATGGATAGAGATAGATTTGAGAACTGAAGGTTCGAGATAGATTTGAGAACTGGAGGTTTCTGAAAAAGATAATCATTTGAACACAACATTCTGTAATGTCTTCCCAGGAAGACCATTCTTTAAAAGACTTGATGTCTCCACATTGTATCTGGCTCAACTTCCATAGACTTTTCTGGACATTTAATCACATAATTCCCTCTAAGTCTTTAAGTTTTACTGCACTTACTCCATTTTCTATTTTTTAGTATTTTTTAAATTGTGGATGATTTTCTTTCTTTTTTAATATTTACTGAGTAATAGGAACCATAGCATATATGTACATGATAAGTTAGCTCATGTTCATGATAAGTTAACTCATGACTAGAGATATTAACATATATACAGTCTCCTGATCCTTGTCTCAGAAGACCAACAATATGGGTATTCAAGAACTAAGTAGAGTGGATTCACCATATTTCCTTTTTCTCTTTTACTTTAAGTATGAAATTGATATGTGTGCACTGTACAAAATTCAGAGAATAAATTGCTGTAGCAATTTGCTAGTCTCTTTCTCTCCATTTGTCCCACCTTTCTGATTTACCAGAGGCATAAACTTATAATAAGCATTGAAATGTAAAATGATCTACATTTTCCCTACTGCTGAGAGGAAATTATCTTAGAAGAAAAAGACATAAATATGAAAATCATCTGGTTTGGTGCTAGCTTTTTCTGTTCCTCTTCTACTCCTAGTTTTGAAGCTCTGTTTACTGCTCTGGAACAAGAACAAGAAAACCTGGGCATTTCTAGCGTTGGTGCCTCTGTCACTACCATGGAAGAAGTCTTCTTCAAGTGAGTGACAATGTATAGGGGAAAGAAAATCTCTGGAGGGAAAAGAACATGTCTTAGTTCCCTTTGTAAGTTCTCCAGACTTAACAGGTTTCATCCAATAGAAATTTAAGGGCAACGGGGCATGTTTGGGAACCATTGCTCTACCACAAGTACCATGTTGCTTCCAAGTAATGATTTCTGCCAGGCAATGAGCACACCAAGGAGCCTTCTGAGTTGGGGGCTGCAACTCACATTCTTCAAACAGGATACTTTGGAATAAGATTGAAATGAAATACTTTGTGCTTTTTTATGTAGGGTCGGTTACACGGAAGAGTCACAAACAGATATCGAAGCTATGAAGTCTTCCTCCCAAATGGGCCGAGCCTCCAACAGGAACCAGAATAAGAACATGTCAAGAAATGTGGAGGGAGCAGATCCTCCCACCCTGAATGAAAGCCCTACTATTAACTTTAATACTGGGGTGAGCACCTTTACCAAGAAACCTGGTGTAGATATGGTTGGAGTGCAAGAGGTACACTTCGTCGATCAGATGGCAAGCAGTCTGTGCCACTTCCTAATCAGTTTTCTAATGCAGAAATGATGGGTTTTAGATAAGATAGCAATGGTTTGCTTTCACCATTGTTATTCCTCCATCCTTTTTTTCTGTTTTAGAATTCATTTCTTTTCAAATCAGTAACCACAAAATGTGTTGGTTTATTGAGGCTAAGTTAAGGGTACTAGTGAGCCTGATTTTTAATAATTCAATATGCACAATATTTTAAGTATTCTAAGTTTTCCTATTGGGAATTGTTACTGTGTAAGGGATGGTTCCCTAATTAGTATGATCCTTCACAGTGGAATTCTGAGTTGCCAAATATTTTCTTCATTCTTCTTATAATCATCTACTCCTTCTATAAAGCACCCTAGTTTTCTTGGCTATCAGAAGTCTGAGGAAAATCATCCTTCTAAGATTTTTGTGTGTTATATCTAAAGCCAAACTGTAAACATTTTATTTAATATATTACAGCAGAGGTCAGTAAACCTTATGTAAAGAGACAACAAATATTGAAGGCTTAGTAGGCCATCTGGTGTCTTTCACAATTACTCAAGTCTGTCATTATAGCACAAAAACAACCATGAAAATACAGAAATAAATGGGCATCACTGTGTTCCAATAAAACTTTGTTTATAAAAACAGGCCATAGGGCCATAGTTTGTTGACCCCTGCCTCATACAAAGAAAAGATTGATCATACAATTGTGTCCTGTCATACCACGCTTAGGTTCTATTCCAAGTACTTACTTCTATAAACTTTATGTGTTTGTAATATAAAACTTGTATATGTTCATACCACAGAATTTCAAAGCATTCGTCTTAATGGAGTTCAACATGAATGGCATGTTTAAGTCTATACCTATTGTAATGTTATCTTTTTCTCATTTTTCCTTAGTGTTCTCTCTACAGCCAGCAGTTCTGTGCCATGTTCGTAAAGAGGGTGATGTTCAACTGGCGCAACTGGAAACTGCTTTTGTTACAGATACTGGGACTCATAGGCTCCCTTGCCTTTCTCTTAAGTTCTAGTAAAAATTCTTCACAGCATGAAATGATTAGGCAAATGGAGTTGAGTCAATATGGTCAAACCATTGTGCCCTTTTCTATTTCTGGGGCTTCTAATTTGACTGCAGATCTCTCAGAACGCCTTAAGAGTATGCTCGAGTCTGACAACCAAAGACCTCAGGAAGTACAAGGTAAAGCTCACTGAGGAAAAAAAAAAGAACTGCTCTCAGAGATGATCTTCTTGTGTTACTTCCAAAGAAGGTCTTAACTATAGTGTTGGGCTACCCACTCTATCCTTCCCCTGTTAGTCACAAATGTCTTAGAGACAGTTATATTCAAGTCAAAGAATGCCCTCATTTTTTCAGATTTTTAAATTTATTTATTTTGTTTTAAGTTCATGGGTACATGAACTAAGATTTTTGTGTGTTTTATTTTATCTAGAGCCAAACTGTAAATGTTTTATTTAACATATTACAGCAGAGGTCAGTAAATCTTATGTAAAGAGACAACAAGTAAAGATACAAGTTTACTTGTATCATGGGGGTTGTACAGGTTACTTTATTACCCAGATATTAAGCCTAGTATCCATTAGTTATTTTTCCTGATTCTCTCCCTCCTCCAACCTTCCACCCTCCTGTAGGCCCCAGTATATGTTGTTCCCCTCTATGTGTCCATGTGTTCTCCTCATTTAGCTCCAACTTTTAAGTGAGAACATGTGGTATTTGGTTTTCTGTTCCCGTGTTAGTTTACTAAGAATGATGGCCTCCAGCTCCATGCATGTCCCTGCAAAGGGCATGACCTCATTCTTTTTTATGGCTGCATAGTATTGCACGGTGTACATGTACCACATTTTCTTTATCCAGTCTATTATTGATGGCATTTGAGTTGACTCCATGTCATTACTATTGTGAATAGTATTGCAATGAACATACACATGCATGTGTCTTTATAATAGAATTATGTATATTCCTTTGGGTATACACACAGTAATGGGATTGCTGGGTCTAACTATATTTCTGTCTTTAAGTCTGAGGAATCACCACACTGTCTTCCACAGTAACTGAACTAATTTACACTCCCACCAACAGTGTATAAGCATTCCTTTTTCTCTGCAACCTCACCAGCATATGTGTGTTTTGTTTTTTGTTTTTTGTTTATTTGTTTGTCTGTTTTTTACTTTTTAAATGATAGCTATTCTTAAAAGTCAAGAAACAACAGATGCTGGTGAGGTTGTAGAGAAATAGGAACACTTTTACACTGTTGGTGGGAATGTAAATTCGTTCAACCATTGTGGAAGACAGTGTGGTGATTCCTCAAAGATTTAGAACTGGAAATACCATTGGACCCTACAATTCCATTACTGGGTATATATCCAAAGGAATATAAATCATTCTGTTGTAAAGATACTTGCACATGTACGTGTAGACGTGGAATCTACCCAAATGCCCATCAATGATAGATTGGATAAGGAAAATGTGGTACATATATACCATGGAATACTATGTAGCTATAAAAAGAAATGTCCTTTGCAAGGAGATGGATGAAGCTGGAAGCCATTATCCTCAGCAAACTAGTACAGGAACAGAAAACACCTCATGTTCTCACTTATAAGTGGGAGCTGAACAATACATGGACACAGGGAGGGGAAAAACACACACTGGGGCCTGTTGGAGGATGCGGGGAAAGAGCATTAGGAAAAACAGCTAATGCATGCGGAGCTTAATACCTAGGTGATGGGTTGATAGGTGCAGCAAACCACCATGGCACACATTTACCTATTTAACAAACCTGCACATCCTGCACAGGTACCCCCAAACTTAAAAAATAAAAATAAACAAATGAATAAATAAAATAAAAAGCTAATTATAATAATAACAGCTCTTCTGACTGGTGTGAGATGGTAGCTCATTGTGGTTTTGATTTGCATTTCTCTAATGATCAGTGATGTTGAGCTTTTCTTTATATGAACATTGGCCATGTGTATGTCGTCTTTTGCAAAGTCTCTGTTCATGTCGTTGGTCCTCTTTTTTATGAGTTTGTTTTTTTCTTGTAAATTTGTTTAAATTCTTTGTAGGTGCTGGATATTAGATCTTTGTTGGATGCATAGTTTGCAAAAACTTTCTCCTGTTCTGTGGATTGTCTGTTTACAGACAATTGTCTTTTGCTGTCTAGGAAACTCAACATGGGGATTTTTGTTACTTGCAACAAGTAAGGGGAACACTGGGCATAGCTTCTTTTTAAATTTTTTCTAGCAACAGGGCTGTTGCATGTTTAGTTTTCTAAAAAACTACCTAGTTGCTTTCCAGAGTGACTGTGTCATTTTACATTTCCCTCAGCAATGTATGAGTGATCCAGTTTCTCTGCATATTCACCAGCATTTGGTGTTGTCACTATTTTTGTTTTGGCCGTTGTGATAAGTGAGTAGTGGTATATCACTGTAGTTTCAACTTACCTTTCCCTGACTTGCATTTCTACATCTTTTCATGTGCTTATTTTCCATTTGAACATCATCTCCGGTGAAATGTGTGTTTATCATTTTTCCCTATTTTTTAGTTTAATTTTTGATGTTTTTTACTATAGAGTTTTAAACAGTTTTTAAAATTGTTTTCTCTCATGCTGTAGATTATCATTACCCTAACAATTTTTTTTCAGGGCAAAATTTCTTAATTTTTATAAAGTTTAATGTATTTTTTTCTTTTATTGATCATGCTTTTGATGTTAGGTCTAAGAACTCTCTACCTAGCCCTAAATCTTGAAGATTTTCTCCTAAAAAGCTTTACAGTTTTCTAAAAGTTTTATAGCTTTACATTTTATATTTATTATCTACTTTGACTTAATTTTAGCATAAGGTGTGATATCTGAGTCCAGGTTAATTTTTGTGCCTGTGCATCTCCAATTGCTCCGGCAGCAATTGCTCCATTACTGAATGATGATATTCATTTAATTATTTTGCACCTTTATCAAAAAAGAGTTGGGCATGTTTGGGTCTATTTTGGGGTTTTCTATTCTATTCCAATAATCTATGTATCTATTCCTTCAACCAATGGCACACTTGAAATCTGGTAGACTGGTTCCTCCCACTTTATTCTTGTTTTTAAAAGTTGTTTTGGCTATTTTAGTTCCTTTGCTCCTCCATATACATTTTGAAATAAGTTTGTCTATACCTGCATAAAAACTTGGAAATTTGCCAGAAATTGGATTAAATCTGTATAGTAAATTGAAGAAAATTGACATCTTTACTGAGTATAGTCTTTGAATCCATGAATGTAGGATGTCCCTTTATTGATTTAGAACTTTTGTTTCTTTCATCAGCGCTTGTAGTTTTCAGCATACAAGTCCTGCACATGGGTTGTTAATTTATGCCTAAATATTTCATTTTTCAGTTAATGTAAATGGTATTACCCTTTTAATTTTGGTATCCAGATGTTTATTCTAGCATATAATTATTTTTTATTCTTATATGGTTATCATGTATCCCGCAACTTTGATGAACTCATTTATTAGTTCTAGAAATTTTTCTTGTTGGTTCCTTGGGATTCTCTATGTAGACAATCATATCATCTGCAAATAAGAGCAATTTTCTTTCTTTGTGATCTGTATGCCTTTTGGTTCCCATTTATACTTTATTACACTGGATAGAACTTCCATCACTATATTGAATCAGAGTAGTGAGACTGATTGTTTTTCTTTGTTCCAATGTTAGGAAAAAAGGTATACAGTCTTTCTCCACTAAGTATAATGTTAGCGGTAAGGAATTTTTTAGATGCTTTATATAAAGTTAAATAAGTTCTGCTCTACTCCTATTTTGCTCAGTTTTTTTTTTTTTAAATCATGAGTGCTTACTGAGTTTTCTCAAAAGCTTTTTCTGCACAGATTTGTATAATTATGTAAGTTTTCCTTGTTAGTCTATTAATATGGAGGGTGACATTAATTGATATTCAAATATTGAACCAGCCTTGTATCCCTGGAATAGATTCCAGTTGATCATGGTGCATAATTCTTTGTATATATTGTTGAATTCTGTTGGCTAATATTTTATTAAGGAGTTTTGCATCTATATTCATAAAGGATATTTATCTGTAGTTTACTTTTGTTGTACTGTCTTGGTGTGGTTTCATTATAAACTAAATTGAGAAATGTTCCTGATTCTGTTTCCTAAAATATGTTGTGTCTAATTAGTGCTTATTCTTCTTTAAGCATTTGATACGATTCTTCAGTGAAAATATTGGGGCCTGGAGACTTCTTTTTTATGGAATTTTTAGTTGAGAATTACATTTTCTTAATAATTATTGCTATTCAATGATCTACTTCATATTGAGTTGTCGTAGCTGTATGTTTTGAAGAAGTGGTCCCTTTCATCTAAGTCATCAAATCTATGTGTTGTATTAGAGTTCTTTAGAAAAGCAGAACCAACAGGATATATATATATGGGAAACAAAAGGCATACAGATCACAAAGAAAGAAAATTGCTCTTATTTGCAGATGATGTGATTGTCTACATAGAGAATCCCAAAGAACAAACAAGAAAAATTTCTAGAACTAATAAATGAGTTCATCAAAGTTGCAGGATACATATATATGTGTGTGTGTGTGTGTGTATATATATATATAGAGAGAGAGAGACAGAGACAGAGAGAGAGAGATAAATGTATAAAGAAAATATTTATTAGAGGAATTGGCTCATGTGATTATAGAGGCCAAGAAGTCCCATAATATGCTGTATGCAAGCTGTACACCCAGGAAGCCAGTAATTCAGTCTGAGGCCAAAGGCCTGGAAACCAAGGTGGCTACTGGTGTAAGTCCCAGAGTCCAAAAGTCTGAGAATCAGGAGTGCTAATGTGTAAGGGCAGGAGAAAATAGATGGTGCATTTTCCTTCATGAAGAGAAAAAAGTTGTCCTTTTTTCACCCTTTTGTTCTATTTGGTCCCTCAATGGATTGGATGATGGCCACTCACATTGGTGAGGCGCTTTAGTCAGTCTACTGATTCAAATGCTAATCTTGTCTGGAAACACCCTCACAGACATGCCCAGAAATAATGCCTTACCAGCTACTTGGGTATCCCTCAACCCAGTCAAGTTGATACATAAAATTAGCCATGACATTTGTGTAGAGTTAACCATAGAATTCCTTTATCATCCTTTTTATGTCTGCATGATGGGTAGTGATTTTCTGTTTCATTCCTGACATCGGTGATGTGTGTCTTCTCTCTTGTTTTCCATCCACTGTGCTTTTGTCTGAGTATTCTAATCACTTGTCTTCCAGTGCCCTGACCTACATTTTATTTGTGCTCAACCCACTATAGTTATATATTAACTTCTTAATTGTAATTAATGTGTTTTTTAATTCTGACATAAACATTTGATTATTTCTATGGACTCCAGTTCTCTGGTAAATTCTCTATCTTTGCTACCTGGGTCATCAATGAATCTGTTTCTATTGTCTGTGCTTTCTCTTGGTTCTCTTTCTTAGTGGAATTGATAATTTCTTAATTCAATGCCAGATACTGTGTATGAAAATTATGAAGATTCTGCATGAGATTATCTTCTCCAGAGGAGATTCAGTTTTACTTCTGGCAGGCAGTAAGATTAAGGAAAGATCTAAATCCAATCATGGATTGAAGTAATTTGAGGCTGGGTTTAAATTTTTATAAGAATGTGTCTATTAAGCTGGGCATGGTGGCAAGGGTCTGTAGTCCCCACTGCTTGGGAGACTTACATGGGAGGGTCACACGAGCCTAGGAATTTGAGGCTGTAGTGCACTATTATCATGCCTGTGAATATTTCCCACTGCACTCCAGCTTGGGAAACCCAGTGAGACCCGATCTCTTAAAGAAAGAATTGGTTTATTTCTTACTCACTATTTCTGTGAGGGTATTACCCTTCTTGAGCCCCACAGAGAGCCTGAGGATTTACTAAGGTACCTCTACCATTTACAAATCTATAAAGGTCTCAAAGAAAAAAAGAATGTAGAATGTTGGACTCATCTCAGTGCATTTCCATTCTTCCCAAATGTTGATAGTTTTCCTAGATGTCTAATATCCTTAATGAGGTGATATTTTTAAATGTTTTTAGTTAGCTTCTATGCTTTCCAGAGGAAGGTTTTGTCTGCTGTAAGATTAGCAAAGCTATAAATGAAAACACTTATAAATCAGTATAAGATAGATAAGTAAGTTGAGAGAGTCTATGTTTTCTCAGTGAAGTAGTAGTTTAGGATATAGGCTATAAAGTGAGAGAGCTTGGAATGTAATGATGAAGTAAAGTGCTGGAGGGGAACCGCAAATGTTTGAAGTAGTCATTATGGGAAAATTGAAGGTGACGAGAAGTAAAATTATCTGTTCCTCTTCTCTGGCCTATATTATAGGTTATCTGTATTGTGGACACACTGACCAATATTGTTTTCTCATCCTAGGTGACCTACTGAAGTACTTGAGGGAAACAAAAGATTGTATTCGTTTATGTATCATTGCACTTTCTATTGAGTCGGAGGCAAATATGGTAATGCTTACTGCTCTGTTCAACAATGAAGCATATCATTCACCATCTGTGGCCCTGGCAGTGTTAGACAACATTCTTTTCAAGTCACTTTCTGGTGCCAATGCTTCCTTAACAGTCTCCAACAAACCTCAGCCACTCCTTGATATTGAAGAAAATGAAGAGTATGTTATTCTTTTCATTTGAATTCAATTTTACTCTTTAAATACATTATTTCCACTTTATCTGATTACATTTATATGATAAAAATAGCTATTGATTGAAATCTGTATTTTCTGCTGTGTTGATTTTCTGATATGTCTTCTTTTGTAGGCTTCAAAGTGGACAAAAATTGGCCATAAATTTACAATTTGGCATGGCTCTTTTGATCAATGGTTTTTGTCTCCTGACGGTGACTGAGAGAACCACTAAGGCGAAGCACATCCAGTTTGTGAGTGGTGTCTCTGTCATTGTGTACTGGCTTTCTGCCCTATTGTGTGATTTCATCATCTTCTTTGCCTCCTGCTGCTTAGTAATGGTGAGTGTGAAATGAAGTTCCTTGAGGGTTTGTTTTCCTTTTGTACCTCTTGGAAAATTACTATTCTAATGGTTATGAAATCTAGCTCTTGTCAATAAACCATCTTTGCTTATTATCTTGGAAAACACATTGCAAAAGTCTGGTGGTAGAAACTTTACCATATTCTTAGTTTAAAAAGTACCTTCTTTGCATAAAAGTAGAAATGTAGACTAATGGAAAAAAATAGAGTACAGAAATAAACTCATGCATTTACCATCAGCTAATTTTTTACAAAGGTGACAAGAACACACAATGGGGAAAGAACAGTCTCTTCAATACATTGTGTTGGGAAATCTGGATATCCACATGCAAAAGAATCCATTTAGACCCTTATTTCACACCACATACAGATATCAACTTAAAATATAATGAAGACTTACATGTAAGTCCTGAAGCTATAAAGCTACTAGAAGAAAACATAGGGGAAACATTCTTTTTTATGACCCCAAAAGCACGGGCAATAAAAGCAAAAATAGAAAATTGGGATTACATCAAACTAAAAAGCTTCTGCATAGTAAAGGAAACAATCAGTAGAGTCAAGAGAAAAATCTACAGAATGGGAGGAAATATTTATAAATCATACCTCTTAAAAGGGGTTAATATCCAAAATATATAAGGAACTCTTACAACTCAATAGCAAAAAATAACCTAATTTAAAAATGGGCAAAGGAATTGAATAGATTTTTCTCAGGAGAAGATATAAATGTTCAACAGGTATATGAACATTTGCTCAATTTTCCTAGTCATCAGGGAAATGCAAGTCAAAACCATGAGATAATCACCTCACACCTATTACGATGACTTTTTTTAAAAAAAGATTTTATAAAAAGATAACTAGTATTGGTAAAGTTTGTACAAATTGGAACTCTTGCCAACTGTTGGTGGGAATGCAAAATGGTGCCCCTGCTATGAAAAACAATGTGGTGGTTCCTCAGAATATTAAAAATAGAACTACCATATTATCAGACAATTCTATTTCTGATTATTTGTCAAAAAGAGTTCAAATCAGGATCTCAGAGACCTACCATCACTCCTAATTCACTGAACACTATTCATAATAGCTAAAATGTGAAAAAAAAAAAAAAAAGCCTAAACATTCATCAGCAGATGAATGAATAAAGAAAATGTGGTATATACATACAATGGAATATTATTCAGACTTAAAAAATAAGATGATTCTGGCTGGGCACAGTGGCTCACGCCTATAATCCCAGCATTTTGGAAGGCCAAGGTGGGTGGATCACCTGAGGTCAGGAGTTTGAGACCAGCCTGGCCAACATCTAGTGAAACCCTGTCTCTACTAAAAAATACAAAAATTAGCTGGGTGTGGTGGCACATGCCTGTAGTTCCAACTACTTGGGAAACTGGGGCAGGAGAATTGCTTGAACCCAGGAGGTGGAAGTTGCGGTGAGCCGAGATCGCGCCCTTGCACTCCAACATGGGTGACAGAATGAGACTCCATCTGAAAAAAAAGAACAAAAAAAAAAAATAAGATGACTCTGACATTTGCTACAATATGGATGAATCTTGAGGACATTATGCTAAGTAAAATAAAGCAATCACAGAAAGTCAAATATTTCATGATTCCACTTACATGATATATCTAAAATAGTCAAATGTGTAAAATCAAATAGTTGAATGATGGCTGCTAGGGGCTTGGAGAATAGGATAATGGAAAGTTACTAATCAGTGAGCATAAAGTTTCACTCAAACAAGATAAATAAGCCTTAGAGATTTGTAGTAAAAGATTGTACTTACAGTTAACAATCATATATTTTACGCTTAAAAATGTATTAAGAATGTAAATCTTATGTTTAATGTTCTTTTTACATTAAAAGAAAATAAGGAGTAATTATACATTTCCAAATTAAAAAAAAAAAACTAATAGACTGTTGCTAGCAGTCATGCCCTACAAGAAATTCTGAAGAGAATTCTTCAGTCTGAAATGAAAGGACACTTGACAGTAACTCAAATCCAAATGAAGAAATAAAGGATACCAGACAAGTAAAAACATAGATAAATGTAAAATGCAGTATTAATATATTTTTGTTTATAGCTCTTATATTTTTTCATTTAAAAGGCATCTGTGTAAAGCAATAGTTATAAATCTATCATGATGGACACACAATGTATAAAGATGTAATTTGTGATAATAATAGCATAAAAGGCAGAGAGGTTAGCTATATAGGTACAAAATATTTGTATTATATTGAAATTAAGTTGGTATTAATCTAAATTGTATTGTTATGAATTGGATGTTTATTGTAATTTCCAACCACTAATATAACAACCCAACTACATGGAGTCTTAAAAGACAATAGAATTAAATGGCACACTCAAAAATATCTATTCAACACAAATGGCAGAATAAATGAATGGAAAAATATGATGATGTAATACATAACCAAATGACAGAAAAACTTACAGGTAATTACATTAAATATAAATGGATTAAACTCGAATTAAAAGTAGGCATTAGTAGAATGATTCCAAAAACATAATCTAACTGTCTGATACCTACAAGAGACTCACTTTAGGTTCATTGACACAAATAATTTGAAAATAAAATGATGAAAGAGCTTTAAAAGATAACTAGTATAGCTTTAATAATATTCAAAGCAGACTTTACAACAAAAATCATTAGGATAACAAATGAAGAAATGTAAAATGTTTCAACTGTCATGTAAAACAGTTTTGTGGTTCTTCAAAAATTAAACATACAATTACCATATGATTCAGCAATTACACTCCTAGATTTATACCCAAGAGAACTGCAAACATCAATTTTTTTAATACTTGAAAATGAAAGTCCCAAGTATCATAAATGGAATTAAACATACAATTACCATATGATTCAGCAATTACACTCCTAGATTTATACCCAAGAGAACTGCAAACATCAATTTTTTAAATACTTGAAAATGAAAGTCCCAAATATCATAAATGGATAAATAAAATATGATATATCAATACAATACAATGGAACATTACTTAACCATAATCAAGAATGAAATGCTGATACCTGCTACAGCTTGCATGAACCTTAAAAAATTATGCTAACTGAAATAAGCTAGGGACAAAAGGCCATATATTGCATGATTCCATTTACTTAAAATGTCCAAAATAGGTAAATTCATAGACACAGAAAGCAGATTAATAGTGCCAGGAATAGTGGTTACTTTTACAGGGATTGGAGGAGTTTCTGATAGGCTTCTGTGGGTATTGGCATTGTAGTAGTTTCCCAGGGAATTGCTTTGTGATAATTCATTATGATAATTCATTTATGTTACATATACGTTTCTGAATATGTGGTATATTTCATAATAAAGTGGTTAAAATATTTACTTGAAAATTTTGTTTGCATTTTCACTTGTAGATTAAGTTGAGTAGAATCTAAATATTCATAATGCATGAGTCTCTTGTCCAAGAACAACTATATTACTTACTTATCCAACAAGGAATTCAGCGTTTTTTTTGTTTTTGTTTTTGTTTTTGTTTTTGTTTGAGACAGAGTCTTGCTCTGTCACCCAGGCTGGTGTGCAGTGGTGCAATCTCGGCTCACTGCAAGCTCCGCCTCCTGGGTTCCCGCCGTTCTCCTGCCTCAGCCTCCCGAGTAGCTGGGACTACAGGTGCCCGCCACCATGCCCGGCTAATTTTTGTTTTTTTAGTAGAGACGGGGTTTCACCATGTCATGCAGGCTGGTCATGATCCGCCTGCCTTGGCCTCCCAAAGTGCCAGGATTACAGGCAGGAGTCACTGCACCCAGCCCAGAATTCAGCTTTTCTTTGAAATAGGTTATGATTTGTGACATTGAAAGATCATAAGACTTTGAACACAGAAATTCTTAGGTCACACTAACTTTTATTTGATTTCTTCATTTTATTTATTCTTTTAGGTTTACAGAATGCTTAGTCACAAACAAAATAATTATAGCTTCAGGGACTGGATTCATCTATTTCCCGCAAATCTTCTCTTATTTTTGCTACCACCACCAAGAACATCAGTCAATATAATGATTATTCTTAGCTTAATCTTACTATTTACTTCTTGCTTGTCTTGCTACATAATCATGTAATTGCCCAAAGGGACCATCTTGTCATTTGTGGAGAAGTGATATCTATTAACTAATGAGATATAAATTTCCAGAAATTTATTTCTTTTCACAGCTACAGGTTCCTCTCCACCACCACCATCCATTCTAATTTTGTGTTCCACTGTCTGGTTTAGTGGCTTTGGTGAATGTGAGGGAGAAGTGGGGAAGTAGAATAGAACCTGGTGGCCCAGTTTAAAGGTGCATAGCAGTGGGTAGAGTGATAGGTAAGTTACGTAGTCAAAGAAAAAATCTTTGGAGAAAGTATGTCTTTGGAGATATAGTCTACTTTCTGGGAAACTTGCCAGTATTATTGCAATAACTGTTCCAAGTAGAAAAGAAAATAATAAAGGAAAGTATAGTGGCTCTGCTCACTGGAATGCCCTCTGATGAAGAGGTAAAAATAACTTACTTCATCCTCATGGGATAAGGTTTTGATTTTTTGTTTTGTTTTGTTTTGTTTTTTTGAGACAGGTCTCACTCTGTCACCCAGGCTGGAGTGCACTGGCACAGTCACCACACACTGCAGTCCCCACCTCCTGAGCCTTAGCCTCCCAAAATGCTGGGATTACAGGCATGAGCCATAATGCCCATCCCCAGGGCTGAAGTTTTTGTTTTGTTGATTATTCTACTTTAAGTTCTGGGATACACGTGCAGAACATGCAGTTTTGTTACATAGGTATACATGTGCCGTGGTGGTTTGCTGCACCTATCAACCTGTCATCCAGGTTTTAAGCCCTGCATGCATTAGGTATTTGTCCTAATACTCTCCCTCCCCTTGCTCCCTATCCTCTGACAGGCCCCAGTGTGTGATGTTCCCCTCCACATGTCCATGCATTCTCATTGTTCAGCTCCCACTTATGAGCGAGAGCATGTGGTGTTTATTTTTCGGTTCCTGTGTTAGTCTGCTGAGAATGATGACTTCCAGCTTCATCCATGTCCTTGCAAAGCTCATCAACTCATTCCTTTTTATGGCTGCATAGTATTCCATGGTGTGTATGTGCCACATTTTCTTTATCCAGTCTGTTATCGATGGGCATTTGGGTTGGTTCCAAGTCTTTGCTATTGTAAATAGTGCTGCAATAAACATATATGTGCATGTGTCTTTATAGCAGAATGATTTATAATCCTTTAAGTATATACCCAGTAATGGGATTGCTGGATCAAATGGTATTTCTGGTTCTAGATCCTTGAGGAATCACCACACTGTCTTCCACAGTGGTTGAACTGGTTTACACTCCCACCAACAGTGTAAAAGCATTCCTATTTCTCCACAGCCTCACCAGCATCTGTTGTTTCCTGACTTTTTAATAATCACCATTCTAACGAGCATAAGATGGTATCTCATTGTGGTTTTGATTTGCATTTCTGTAATGACCAGTGATGTTTTAAGAGGCAGAGTGACTTAATTAATGACTAGTCCCATGCTAAATAAAGACAGGACTTGCTATTTCCTTCTCTAAATGTTTTGGCTTAGTTTCTTTTTTCACTTGCCCTTCACTTTGCCTTTATCTCTGTACCCTTTGTGTTTCAGGGAGTGATAAAATACCACAAATTAGATATTTATGTCACGGATTACCACATTCTGGAAACTATGCTGATCTTCACGCTGTATGGCTGGTCTGCCATTCCCTTTGTGTACCTGATAAGCTTTGTGTTTTCTGGAAGTACTTCTGCCTACATCAAACTTCTCCTACTCAGCTACTTTTCAGGCACTTTTGGTTTCCTCATAGGCGAGATAATAGAAAACAGTAAGTGTGAAGTTTCACAAAATTTCTCCTTCTCCAGAAGGCAGCAGTAAATAAGTAAGGAGTAATGGACCTACAGATACTTAAGAACATTTACAGACAACTAAATTCTAGGTTTTAGAGGAAATTTTGTACTTCATGTACAGCAATAAACTTACTTTGACTGCCTGTGATATTCTAGGCATTGTGCTGCCAGATCTGTATGAGTTAAAAAAAAAAGAAGAAAGATCCAGGCATGGTGGCTCACGCCTGTAATCCAAGCCCTTTGGGAAGCTGAGGTGGGTGGATCATGAGGTCAAGAGATGGAGACCATCCTGGCCAACATGGTGAAACCCTGTCTCTACTAAAAATACAAAAATTAGCTGAGCGTGGTGGCATGCACCTGTAGTCCCAGTTACTTGGGAGGCTGAGGCAGGAGAATTGCTTGAACTAGGGAGGAAGAGGTTGCAATGAACCAAGATCATGTCACCAAAAAAAAAAAAAAAAGGAAAGAAACATGAAAAGCAGCTCAACAGTCAAAGACAGGTTTATTTTTGGAGCATAAACCTGAGAGGGGCTTCTGGCCAATTTCGATCAGGAGCCCACTCCCTTACAGACAGAGTATATCTTGGTTTTAGGGTGAGAGAGCTTATCACAGGCTTGGAATGTTTCTGTGTGGGTGAGAAGTTTATTGTGGGGTTGGAATATCTCTGTTTGGAGGGGAGGTTATCTTGAGGCTGACATTTCTCTGGCCGGAGGGGAGATTATCTCAGGACTGGCATATCTCTGGCCAGTGTCTCATGTGTCCGTGTGAAGAGATCACCAAACAGGCTTTGTGTGAGCAACATGGCTGTTCATTTCACCTGGGTACAGGTGGGCTGAGTACAAAAAAGAAGTCAGCAAAGGGTAGTGGGATTATCATTTGTTCTTATAGGTTTTGGGATAGGCGATGGAACTAAGAGCAGTGTTTTGGGGGTAGGGAATGGATCTCACAAAGTACATTCTCAAGGGTGTGGAGAATTACAAAGAACCTTCTTAAGGATGGGGGAAGATTATAAAGAACCTTCCTAAGGGTGGGGACTATTACAAAGTACATTCATCAGTTAGGTTGGGGCAGAAATAAATCACAGTGGTGGAATGTCATCAGTTAAGGCTATTTTCACTTTTTTTGTGGATCTTCAGTTACTTCAGGCCATCTGGATGTATACATGCAGGTCACTGGGGATATGATGTCTTAGCTTGGGCTCAGAGGCCTAACATTCCTGTCTTCTTATATTAATAAGAAAAAACAAAATAGTGATAAAGTGTTGGGGAGGCGAAAATTTTTGGAAGTGGTATGGAGAGATAATGGGCGATGTTTCTCAGGGTTGCTTTGAGCGGGATTAGGGGCGGCACGGGAACCTCCAGTGAGAGAGACTCAACTGAAGAAAGATTTTGGGGTAAGGGATGATATTGTGGGGTTGTTAGAAGGAGCATTTGTCATATAGAATTATTGGTGATGGCCTGGATGCAGTTTTGTATGAATTGAGAAACTAAACAAAAGACACAACATCCAAATAAGAGAAAGAAAAAAACAGGTATTGAAGGACTAAGAACTGGGAGTACCCAGGACATCCAACTACAGTGTCCAAGGGGGTTCAGTGTAATTATTTGCTTGGTTGGTGAGTTTTGGAGCTCTATCCTTGAGTTTTTTTATGTTGTCATATACCAGGCCAGATTGATTTAGGTAAAAACATTCTTCATTTAAAAATATACAGAGTCCCCCCCTTTTTTTTTTAGCAGTAAGTCAGGGCCTTGTTGAATTTGGAGGAAAGAGAAATGCAAAACCAGCAATTGTTTGTTAAAGAAGGTTTAGAAATGGCTAGGAGAGAGTGAGTGAGATTGATAGTGTGGTGGAGATAGCTGGGGAGAGGTAGAGGGTGGCATAAGAACAGGAATGAGAATAAGAGTAAGTATAAAAGTAAAGAACAGGACTTCATCAGGGTGAAAGTATTGGAGTGTATTTGTCACTGAAGATCTTCTATCCACTTAAAGAGATACTTAAGGGTGGCAGTTTGAGGTAAAACCAGGAGCCACTAAATACCAAGAGCCTGAGAAACTGCTTGGGTGATTTGACTAATAAAGGCTCGTCCATTATCAGACTGTATAGAGGTGGGAAGGCCAAACCGAGGAATTATGTCTGACAGAAGGGAAGAAATGACCATGGTGGCCTTCTCAGACCCTGTGGGAAAGGCCTCTATCCATCCAGTGAAAGTGTCTACCCAGACCAAGAGGTATTTTAGTTTCCTGACTTCAGGCATGTGAGTAAAGTCAATTTGCCAGTCCTAGGTGGGGGCAGATCCCCGAGCTTGATATGTAGGGAAGGGAGGGGGCCTGAATAATCCCTGAGGAGTAGTAGAATAGCAGATGGAACACTGAGAAGTGATTTCCTTGAGGATAGATTTCCACGATGGAAAGGAAATGAGAGGTTCTAAGAGGTGGGCTAGTGGCTTGTAACCTACATGGAAGAGGTTATGAAATGACGACAGAATAGAATGGGCCTGTGAGGCTGGAATGAGATATTTTCCTTGGTCCAAGAACCATTTGCCTTGTGTGGGAAGAGATTGATAGGTGGAAGTTTCAGTGGGGGAGTAGGTGGGAGTGACCAGGTGAGAAGGAGAAAATCTGCCGTGAAGGATAGAAGTTGGAACGCTAGCTGCTTTTTTAGCTACCTTATCAGCATAAGCATTGCCCTGAGTGATGGGATCTGATGCCTTTTGATGGCCCTTGCAGTGTATGACTCCAGCTTCATTTGGAAGTAAAGCGGCCTGGAGAAGAGTTTTTATTAAAGAGGCATTAATGATGGAGGACCCTTGCATAGTGAGAAAACCTTTCAGCACAAAAAACAGCACGGTGGTGCAGGATATGGGGTCAGTATAAATATTGATGCATAGTCCATTTGCAAGAGTGAGGGCCCGAGTTAAGGCAATGAGTTTGGCTTGCTGAGAGGTAGTGGAGTGGGGCAGAGCAGTAGCCTCAATGGTAGATGTGGAAGATACTATAGCATAGGCTGCCTTTGCTAGTGTGTGGCGATTAGGCCTGGTGGAACTGCCATCAGTAAACCAAGTGTCATCAGGGTGAGGAACACGAAAGAAGGAAATACTGGGAAATGGAGTGAATGTCAGGTGGATCAGGGAGATACAGTCATGGGAGTGGGGGCCAGCCTAAGACAGTAAGGTCAAGTTGTTTGGACAGAAAGGCTACAGGGCACAGTCCCGGCTCTTGTGTAAGAATTTTGACCGCACAGCCCTGTACTTTGCCTGTGTGTAATGAAAAGGGTTGGGATGAGTTAGCGAGAGCCAGCATGGGGGCAGCTTCTAGGGCTGTTTTTTTTGTTTTTTTTTTGTTTTATTTTTTTGAGATGGAGTCTGGCTCTGTCACCCAGGCTGGAGTGCAGTGGCCAGATCTCCGCTTACTGCAAGCTCCGCCTCCCGGGTTCGCGCAATTCTCCTGCCTCAGCCTCCCGAGCAGCTGGGACTACAGGCGCCCGCCACCTCACCCGGCTTATTTTTTTTTGTATTTTTAGTAGAGACGGGGTATCACTGTGTTAACCAGGATGGTCTCGATCTCCTGACCTCGTGATCCGCCCGTCTCAGCCTCCCAAAGTGCTGGGATTACAGGCTTGAGCCACCGTGCCCGGCCAGGGCTGTTTTTAAGGAATGGAAAGAGGAGTGGCGAAAGGATTTAGGATCTATGGGGTCAGCTAGGTTTGCTTTTGTGAGTTTACATAATGGTTTAGTCAGGATGGTAAAACTAGGTATCCAAAGGCGGAAGTACCTAACCATGCCTAGTACAGAAAGTTGTTGTTTTGTAGAAGGGGTTCGGGTTTGGGAGATTAGCCGGACACAATCAGCAGGGAGAGCACATGTGTTTTCATGAAGAATTATGCCGAGATAGGTAACAGATGAGGAAGAAATTTGGGCTTGACTGAAGTAATGGGGCTGTCTGTGAAGTCTTGTGGCAGTACAGCCCAGGTAATTTGCTGAGCCTGATGGGAGTCAGGGTCAGTCCAAGTGAAAGCGAAAAGAGGCTAGGATGAAGGGTGCAAGGAATAGTAAATAAAGCATGTTTGAGATCCAGAACAGAATAATGGGTTGTGGAGGGAGGTATGAAGGATAGGAGAGTATATGGGTTTGGCACCACGGGGTGGACAGGCAAGACAATTTGGTTGATAAGGTGCAGATCCTGAACTAACATGTAAGATTTGTCTGGTTTTTGGACAGGTAAAATAGGGGAATTGTAAGGAGAGTTTATAGGCTTTAAAAGGCCTTGCTGTAACAAGTGAGTGATAACAGGCTTTAATCCTTTTAAAGCGTGCTGCGGGATGGGATATTGGTGTTGATTGGGGTAAGGGTGATTAGGTTTTAATGAGATGGTAAGGGGTGCATGATCGGTCGCCAAGGAGAGAGTAGAGGAGTCCTATACTTGTGGATTAGGGTGGGGGGATACAAGGGGAGGATGTGAAGGAGGCTTTGAACTGGGGAAAAAGGCAGCGACGAGGTGTGACTGTAGCCCAGGAGTAGTCAGGGAAGCAGATAATTTAGTTAAAATGTCTCAACCTAATAAGGGAGCTGGGCAGTTGGGGATAACTAAGAAGGAGTGCTTAAAAGAATGTTGTCCAAGTTGGCACCAGAGTTGGGGAGTTTTAAGGGGTTTAGAAGCCTGGCCATCAATACCCACAACAGTTATGGCGGCAAAGGAAAAAGCTCTTTGAAAAGAAGGTAATGTGGAGTGGGTAGCCTCCATATTGATTAAGAAGGGGACGGACTTACCCTTCACTGTAAGAGTTACCCAAAGCATCTTTGATGGTCCAGGAGGCTTCCGAGGCGATGGGACAGCGACAGTCTTCAGCCACTAAGCCGAGAAGATCTGGGAAGGAGTCAGTCAGAGCCTTGGGCCAGAGTTCCGGGGGCTCTGGGAGTGACTGCCGGATGAGTTGGACAGTCCGATTTCCAGTGGGGTCCCGCACAGATGGGACACTGCTT